GGCTAAAGGCAGATGCTCATCTTGTGATGTGTTTCGCCCTCAGGTTTGTCTATTCACACCGCTTTGTGGACATCCTAAATGATAGACTATACAAAAAGCCTTTTTTGTTGTCAGGACATGGGCTCTACTTTTCTTTTTAAAACCGTTCCCATGGAAACAGGGCACAGAATGCACAAACTGTGTCTGTTACGAAACTGGTGGAAGATCAAGACTAAAAATGCAAGGGTGTATTTTGCAATAATGACCAGCCGACTGTACATTTTCCACAATTATGTGAGGTATAAATCACATATCATGACATATTCCAAATGTTTATGATTTACTATGTTTCACAGACAGTGTTACTTAACTGGGCTTTGTTTCTATCGCTCATTTCATACATGGATGGTCTTTCTTGTCATGTGCGCTCATGTAGTTTCAAGTGGTCTAGTTTAGGCTTGTCTGCTCTTTTTGCCCATCCAAGACAAAAGAAATCCCTCCCTTTCTGCTCCGCCGTGACCTCACTTTCATCCCCTCCACACACCAGGCTTCTCTGTCCGTCATGTGGCACGAACACTATCAATAACCGTGTCAGTGGCGCAAGTCCCATAGGCTATGCTCAACCCCACCATCCCGAACCCAAATCAGGCCCAGCGTGAAATTCAGAAGCCTTGGGGGGGAGTGAAACCGCACGCGACACAGAATGGAGGCCCCCTGAAGAGACACTCTTTTGACCACCAGACCGCCCCGGCCATTGACTTCCTTCTCAGCCAACTGTGCTTTCATCACACCATCTTTGCCTTTGTCAACATTCGATGGGTTAATTATTCCCTCTCTTTATGAAAACCAGACGCCATTTGTTGCACCGAACAAGCAACTGATTAGCAGGGCAAGCTAATAAAAACACAGCTAATTTCAAACATAAATTGGGAACGTTGGCATACTAGAAACTACCTGAAAGTGCTGGGAACACATTATAAGCCTTTTTAGCTAGCCTCATGAATATTAATCAGGTGGCCTAACATTCATCCAATAGTTCTTGCTGGAAGTCAGGTAAGTGGCCGCTATAGCTAGATTAGTGCTTCATTTAATCCTCTACTGCTAATTGTAGAGCTAATTTGTTATTTTATGTAACCAGCTACATTCTCTTCACACAATAGCCAAAACTCAAATATATGATGAATTTCATAAAAAGCAGATGTAGATTTTAGCATTCTTTTAATAGTGAAAACAGCCCAGCGTGATATGTAATTACTTCTATTGTTTTTGGAATACGGTTAAAGATGAATATATTTATGCTAAACTATATACTTTAATGTCATTTTTTTGTCTATTGAAACTTTATAACTATATTTGTGATTACATATTATTAATGAATGAAGTTTAGTACTTTTAGTTCATTTAAAATATATTAACTTTACTTTTAATATTGCATAACACATACTGTTACAAGTATAATCAAGGACTTAATGCCTTTTAGCGTTATTTAAAGTAAATGTACTTCTTTAAACCACGACAAAAGATTATTAAACCAGAAGGATTTGAAAATAGGCGACTATAATTTAAAGTTCAATTCTTAATTTGACATTATTACAGCGTGAAAACAAAGTGTATTAAGAAACGTAGTCGTGAAAGTGGACTTTATTTAAGTACGCATAAATGGCCATTTCATTATTATTACATTATCTAAAATATCAAAAATTCAAAATATACAAATTTGGAGTACAGTACATAAGCACATTCAATACAGTTAAGCAGACTTAAAAATGTGCACCAAAGCACCTAGGTTGGAGCACAATGCTCACTAGATCTAGTCTAATGTGAAAAGTGAACTTGCAACTTGGTGACTGTATATTTCTACAGTAGAATGGTAAAGGAATAATTCAATTTACTCAATTTGCTCACCCTTCTTTGTTCCAAACATGTGTGATTTTCTTTCTTCTGTGGAAAAGTAAAAATAGTTTTAACGGGCACCAAAACTGTTCTTCTGTGTACTGTAGAAGAAAGAAAAGGCATGCAGGTTTGGAAAAAAGGAGGGTGAGTATCCCTTATCACTCTATTTACTGTAGAAATACACACAGTCAGCATGTTGCAAGTTGACTTTTCATTTTACACCAGATCAAGTGAACACTGGACTCTAACCTGTGCGCTTTGGCAAGCCCCTTCCCACACAGATGGTGATGTTGCTGGGGGGAGGATGCATGTAATTTGGGGATGGATGAGGGAATCTGTATGTCATCGTGTGTGTGGTTGGATGTGTGTGTTTTGTGTGTAGCCTAGGGGCACAGACACACACACACACACACACACACACACACACACATACACAGCAGACTGACCTAGATGAAGCACACATTCAGAATACATATACATACAGTATGTATTTATAAGACAACACATAAAAATGAAACATTTAAACACATACGTGTGTGTGTGTGTGTGTTTTTCTTTTGCCTTTGATTTGTTATAAAGAATATCCTACACTATGCTTTGTTATATGTAGATTTGTCTTAAAATCTGATTAATTATGACAAAATTAGGGTGAAAGGTGAAAGCCTGTATTCATATTTAAGGAGGCATTTTCAAAAACATCGGCTTACCCAAACTGAGATTATGTCCTGGCCTTAACACAAAAACAATCCTCTCCTAAGTCTCTAAAATAGCATCATGTGATGTTTTAAACCTCCAAGCGTGGTAGCTTCATATGCATGCCCCGAATAACACTTACATAAGTGAATAAACCAGAAGACGGGGTTTCAAGGATATTCTAAATAATTTGCTTCCTTTGAGATGTCATGCATGATGGGGGCATTTTGCGATTGATCTGATACAATGGATCTTTAATCCTATAAACTGTTTTGACGTTTGTTTGAATGAGTTCAGAATCCCTCTTATATGGTTTGGATTGTGGGTGGCTGCCCTGCATAATGCTACATGCCTTAAAGGCAGGGTATGTGATTTTTCAAAAACACTTTAGAAAACTGATTCGGGCCGAATCGCAAAACAAACTTGTAGCCAATCAGCAATAAGGGGCGTGTCTACTCGTGATGTGGAGGAGAGAGCTTTCAGTGCATGGGACGGACATTAGCCGAGCCGAGCGACAGAAAGATAGAGATGGCGGATAAAAAACAAAAGAAGAAAACGTTTTCGGAATGATAAGGCAAGAAGTAGGACCCGTGTAAATGTCGGATCAGCTTTCCAGCGCTGGAGAGAACTGAAGGAGCGGAGGCCTGCGATCGGACGCCGAGGTTGCTTTGTTTCTTCTCAATAGGTGAGTAACACTGTGTCTACAACAGCTAAAGTCTGCCTACACTGGATGCGTTCAAACGACCGTTGAAAACCATTTGAAATTTGTGTCAGCACGTCATAAATAGAACCCGGCAGCAGTTTTCTGTCGGGATTTGTTGCGCCGCGCCGCTCACGTCCGTAGACACGGTGTAACATTGGTTTTGCTTTGTTTCACAGAACTAATCGTTGCCTGGGTTGCGTACGTATATGTGGGGCGGAGCTATCAAAATAGGGGCAAGACCCTTTTGGGGTAGGGGCGTGTTTGGTTTGGTGATTTCAAATATCAACATTGGCTACCAGAAATCACTTACTCTGCCTTTAATTGATATGAAACAGCTTCTTTATGTTTTACAGGACAACTGATCCTTCCACAGGCGAAATATAGCCTAATCCTCATGGGAATCTGGTGTTCTTGTGATATTATTTAGTGGCGATTTGGACAAAGTGCTGTTCCTCAACTCAGAAAAACTGCTAAAGTTGCTCCCATTACAGCTGCTTCATTGTGTTGGACTGAAGTTACAAGCTCAGACGATTGCATTTGGTTTCTATTTGAGGGCAAATGCTTTCATGTTTTGTTAAAGTCTTGTTAAAAATTAAATGAAATTATATAAAGCATACTTTTGTTCCTTACAATTGTCTGCGACTGTTTAAACTGATACAGTTTATGGTTCCACTTTTAATGCAGAAGTAAACTTGTGTAACTTTCTCTGTGTTTCCCACCCGTTTACAGAGGACCAGCATGCTTGTCATTATGGTAATGTATATCCAATATATTTCTGTATTTTGTTTTGCCTTTGCTCTCTTGTGTACAATGTGTGACGAATGGATTGTTGTAAATCATGCCCCTTGAACCCAGAGCAATTCCACGTTTGCAGCCTTTAGATGTGTTTCAAATATGACTTTCGTTTCGCGAACAAATCATTTGAACCGATTCTTTTTAATGACTCAGTTGAACCGATTCGCAAGTGAGGGGCTACTGGAAAAATCGGCCAACATCCATCACGGCATTTCAATCTTCTCAAATTTTGTTTGATTTGAACACAAAGACTCTTTTGTCCTTTCTCCTTTTCTAAGGCTTTAAATTCACACTATTAAATATTTTTCACACTTTTGCATAATTTGACAAAGTCACAGCTTGACTGCACGATGCACAACAAAAATATTCGATTCAGTATTTACTTTGATGTTTCTTTGCTTTCTTACAAATCGCGTGTCCCATATCTCACTGTGACTATTTAGAAAAGAAAACGAGAGAGAGAAAAAATGAGGGTTGTGATGGAAATGACACAACAGTGAGACAGTGGGCCTAATTTGTGTAAAAATGAACAAATTATTTTCACTCAAGTATTGACATGTTACGTTCATTTCACAGTTTTAAACAATAATGAATAATTATTAATAACAATAAGTAATAATTCACAGAAAGACATTTACATAACTAAAATAACACGTTAAATTATTTCTCAGTACCCTAGGCTATTAAACGGATCGGTGAATCGTTTTTCAAGGTTTTGGAAAATGAATCGGATTTCCCAAAGCAATGTTCAGATGTGTCGACTGAAGTTTGGTTTAATCTATGACCGCTGAGTCTGCTTTTAAGGGGTAATCCGCCGCTGAGCTCTAATTGGTCAATTATTCTATATGTGGGCGGGAACAGCAGTACGTGTGGTCGGGAGCCGTGTCAATCATCTACGTATAGACACGCCCACCGCCGCTCTCTCAGTGAGCGCCTTCATTGAACGCGCGAGGACGCAGACGCGGTGCGTGCTTTCGGATGTACACTCGCATATATGGCAGGATACAAGCTCGAAGGAAGAAAATATGCCAATCTCCGTCATCTTTCATGCGATTTATACACCGCTCTGCTGATTTTAGCAGTATTGTAGAGGTGAGCCGCGATGTCTGGCTGCATAACGCTGATTGACGGACCGGATCGGTGGCGCGCGTGTTAACGCACAACGGTGTTTTCAGCTCGTGCGTAAACTTTGCAAGAACTTTGCTGCATCGCTTCCTATTTTGACGGGCGAGGTGAAACGGCAGCGCAAAGCATGGCGACACAAAACGACTGCTGTGTCAAGGTCTCTTTAAGGTAAGCCCGACTGTCAGAATCTGCCGACTGTACCTCTGTGCAACCATCATTTCCCATTGTTTGTAGTGCAACACACTCTTCGTTTTATTTTATGTGCTTTATTGATCTTACACTGTTTATTTACATCCGCAACAAAGAGAGGACAAACAGGGCTGTTGCAATTCTCTGGGTGTGTGCTGCGCTAGGTAAGACCCGGGTGATAGGGTGGGCACATGCACAAAGATGCAGTATTGCAACCCGGAGAGAGTAAAATTGCTTGCAAGTGCCAAACACACAGCTGTGCGCGATAGGTATAGTTCCCATGTGCCGCCACATACATGTTACACATGCATGCATAATAACATGCATAACGCATATCGAGACAGAAGTTATATTTAGGTTTGGCTTGTGTTCGTGCATTGTGTGTAAGTGTGCAGCAAAGTGCATTTCATTGCTTTCTGAGTTTTCATAACTGCTGAAGGACATCAGATGATGCAGGAATGTCTGCAAGGTGATAATGGCACAAAGACGCGTGCGCGCTCCCTCTCAGTGTCCTTATTTCCTTTGTTAAACCCCCACATTAGGGATTAATATCGCTGTGCGTTCATCTGCAGTGATCATCAGAATTGCCAATCGCATCAATGTGATTATTCACTAGCGGTGAGCTCGTAAAACTGAAGCGCGTGTCAGCAGTCTGGAGCGGTGAGCGGCGTCGGGCTGCAGCATGACTGGAGGCGGTGGTCTGTCTAAGCATTGTCTGGATCCTCCTTAGATCAGTCTGATGGAAGAAGATCGAGATCAAATCAACTGTCTGGGTGTGTTATATCCCCGTAGCCCCGCTTTCTTGCTGTAAGCCCTCTGGTGAGCATGGCTTGTGTGCTGTTTTAAAGGGCCAAATGGACCTGCTGTTGGAGTAATGCAAGATTGAAAGTGAATCTTTTGTGTTGTCCAGTATTAGGAAGCGTGGCTGCAGGTGCATGCTTGATTTTTACTGTGGCTTCTGCTCACACTGGGGCACACCTGCAGATGGGTGGGCGAGCATTACATCAATGAATGAAGTGGACCCACGTGTTCCGCTGAGCATCACAAAGGCGGACTGTTATTTAAAGCTATACTTTATCTACACATCCCGACTGGATCCAGCTCCAGTGCTTGCAAGGCAGGACCGGACTGATATTCCTCAAATATTCGATCTTAAGTACTGCTTGGGCACCAGCCAGAGTGACCAAAAGTCATCAATTTTCAATGATAATTGGCAACATCTGAGAAAATTCTGCATCAAAATGGCAAAATGAGTGACCCACCAACAGAGATGTTATTGCAGAGGCACCTTACTCTTATGTTAATAATGCATGGGAAGAATCGTAACACTTATTTACAGTGTTGCGAGTGATTATATACTGTTCTGCATTTACAGTACATCACGTCATTGCTGTCGTTTGGGAAATGAACTACTTCCCCCATGATTACTGAGAGACAAAATATCCTTGCCACAGTGAGAATGTGACCTCAACGTAGCAAGCTCAGCTTCGCTTCTCATGAGTTGACCCTTTTTCTACCTCATTTCCTCTTAATCACCATAAAAGCCTGTAGTTGAGAGATTGATTGTGTTTGTGCCTCTGTGGGTGGGAGTTTGCATCTGTATTGTGTGTGTGTGTGTGTGCCGTCCCATGGGTGTATGTCATCTGCAGGCCATCTTTCCTTGCCTCCACCCTTCTGGTGTAGACAAGTGAGACGTTCTCCAGGAGTGTTGACTCCGCAGCGCTGTTATAATTAGACCCAAAGCGAAAATTTGTTGATTTCTTGCCTGATAAAAGAAGGTTATCCATACTGTGGCGGCAGGCTGTCTGTAGTTGGAGGGGTCTCTTAGGAATCCCTTCGGGGTCTCGAGATAACGCCACTTATGATTTCATATTTATGGGAGTCTTCTAACATCACTAGCTGTTTTTAGAAATATTCTCCTTTCTCTTTGAACAGATAAGTGCTTGCATTTGACAGTTTGAGAAACGCATGATCTGTTTGTGTGTCTACTGACATGGCTTGATCTTTTCTCCAGGGGCTGGCTGAGAATGTAGGGGTTTGTGGGGGGATCGTGTTAATAGTCGAGGCTCCTGGGAACTAGACTCGTAATTGCCTCGTTTATGAGAATAGCTTCCTCCAAGACTTCAGGGTTAAGCGTTTTGGGGCTTTTAAGATCCTTGGCATCCCCAGGAGTTACATGGTGGAGGTGATCACTAGGTCAGTGACAAATGACAGCGTGAAGAAAAGTCTGTTAAAAGTCTAGTCGCTAAGTTCTTAGAAATGGCCTCTTTGTATTCATGTTGGTTCCATGTGGTTTTAAAAAAACTTTTGTTTGTTTATTTATTTTTAGGAAAAGTTTAAATGAGTTAAAAATGTTATGACGTAACCAAGTAAGTAGTATTAGCCTAACATATTTTCCTTACTACTTGAATTATATATTCGAAGAAGTTTTTTTTTTTTTTTTTTTACATATTAAAAGGTTTTTAACATTTAAAAGTAAAATGTCAAAATATATCATTATTATTAGTTTATAAATATCTTTGGTTTTGTGGAGACTCACCACATAGCATTTTACAAATCGTCATAAATTTTTAAGAAACTTTATTGACCTCATTTCCGTTTTTTTCCACTGTATCATGGCTGCACCAATGACTTTGATTTGGTGGATGAACATTTTTCAAATATTAATTCAATTTCAACAAAACTTCTTATTTTACATAAATAAAATAATATGCCAAACTACTTTTCTTTTAAAAAATCTTTTCTTCACTATAATTTTTTCTTCATTATCATAACATCAGAATAGTTGTAACACCCTGACATTTTAACACTTTATGCCCTTTAAAAATCAAATCATTGTATGTATTAAAAAAAAAAAAGAACAGTTTTGGACAAAAAATAATAATAATAAAAAAAACATAAGCGTCATGTCATTGACTCCTCTGTTAATGTCAGTAGTTTATTGAATGTGTTGTGACCTTCGTTGCTTGACTCTTAATAGAGACTGATCCATTTGGCCATCCATTAAATTCTATTAAGGAACCTGCACAATGCAAGTTGAATATGTATGTGCACTGCGCACTGTAGGGCTGCACGATATTGGAAAAAACTCACATTGCGATATTTTTTTTTTCCTGCGATTTATATATTACGATATGAAAAAAAAATCAGATGACTTCAATATAGCTCTATTTGGAAAAAAATAATCAATGATTACAGAAAGCAGGAACATTAAACTGCTGTGAACCAATATACTGTTCCACATCCATTTTCTTTCTCAGTTGTTTACCTTCACAACTGAGCCATAAGCATCTGTGTTTACAAGGATACTTGCAGAGCACTGTATTTCAGGCACAAATAGACGCAGAAGTGAACAGAAATCAGTGTTCACGTGCATCTGCGTGGCTCTCACCGTGTCTACACCAGACGCGAGCGGCACGATGCGACAAAATACAATGAACCCATTATAATCAGTGATGCTGTCAGTCTACACTGGGTGCGGCGCGGCACGACAAATCCCCGACAGTAAACTGATTTACAGTTCAAATGATATGCAACGGTCGCTTTGTCTCGTCTAGTGTATACACACTTTGGGGCCGTTCACATGTCGTGCCCAAAAACGTGTGGGAAATGCCAGTCGCGACGCTTTCTCCTTCTTTCTAAAACACTCGGGAGCTTGCGCTTTCGTGGTGTCTGCCATTGCTAAGCAACCTTGACCTGCGCTCTCCTCGACGACGTGGAAGTTTCAACGAAGGATAAATGGATTTCCAGCACTGAAAATCCCTTGCAGTAGCTCTGCTACTAAATTTATTTAAAATGGGTATCTCTGTACAGCTGTCGCGTCCGGTGTAGACACCGTGTCTGTGTGTGAGCAAAGAAAGCAATCGGTAAAAATATAACGATCAGTGTACTAAACATCGCACATCCTGCGCATCGCAGATGCGCACATCGCGATATCGATGCTGAAACGATATATCGTGCAGCCCTAGCGCACTGTCCTTGTAAAGGTGGCCTGCTTACTGCCTGTTTTGTAACCCTGATGTTGTATAGACTGAACGTGTGGGCCTTTTCTCTGGTTTTGAGGAGAATCTGGAAAGGGGTTTGGTTTATTTAGCTGAAAATTTCGGTTAAGGATTTCCAGCACTGAAAATCCCTTGCAGTAGCTCTGCTACTAAATTGATTTAAAATGGGTATCTCTGTACAGCTGTCGCGTCCGGTGTAGACACCGTGTCTGTGTGTGAGCAAAGAAAGCAATCAGTAAAAATATAACGATCAGTGTACTAAACATCGCACATCCTGCGATGCGACTATCGCAGATGCGCACATCGCGATATCGATGCTGAAACGATATATCGTGCAGCCCTAGCGCACTGTCCTTGTAAAGGTGGCCTGCTTACTGCCTGTTTTGTAACCCTGATGTTGTATAGACTGAACGTGTGGGCCTTTTCTCTGGTTTTGAGGAGAATCTGGAAAGGGGTTTGGTTTATTTAGCTGAAAATTTCGGTTAAGCTGCACTTGCAGTAATAACCAGTTAAGCCTGCTGCAGATAAGACCATAAATTGAGGATTAATTTGGGTACACAAAAATGCACAAGACGGCCTAAATAATTTTTGCTGCAGAGTGAAGCATCTTCTTTAGTTCTTACTTGATAGTGCTTACTAATATTAAGACTTCCTCAACTGCCACATGAGCCGTACCTTTTTCTGTCGATCTCTGTTTCTTTACTTTTTGTTGATGCAATATTTAGGGTCTCGGAAAGGGTGGAGTCCCGTGATTTGAAAACTCACACCCACAGTATGCGCCAGCCGGCATTTTCGTGAAAAGACCATGTCGTCACACGCACCTCACTGCATGTCAGTCGCTTAAATGAAAGACCCTAATTGCATGCTATGTTGCGAAAATCTCACTATGACTATCCTTCCTGCAGTTTCCACAGGAAATCGTTTGCCATGAAAGGCAGTAGATTATGTGCAGTTGAACGTGTTAAGTTCAACGCACCG